GCCACGAACCCATAAAAAGGGGAGGCAAGTTTTCTGTTTGCTTGCTTTTTTTTCCCCCTCCTCTTTTTTGCAACTGTAAGGACTGAACCAAGTACATTGGGATCCAATAGGTCTGGAGCACTGAGGTCTGGAAGCAACAAGCCCAGCTGGAAAGCCAGTCAGGAGCACAGTGCAAAGGGTGCTCTGAGGCTGCAGCTCAGCCCTGACCTCCCTGCAGTGCCTCAGAAAAGCTCCCTTGCCTCTGCTATGCAGTAAATAATGCTACAGCCGCTTTCAACCTGGGTGAAGACTTGGGAGCAAATTCTGTCATCTCTTCTCTACATCTATTTTTCACTGAGGAACACCCTCCTTTGTACAAAAGTGATGGTAGTGCAGGGGACACTAAAAAGTGCTTGTTGTACTGAGATTTTTAAAAGTTTCTGCATTACTGTTTGAATGTCTCTGGGTTGCACCCTGAATACATTGGGCCTTGCAACAGAATTGGGCCAAATTATGCACACTGGGGAAATAAAAATCAAGCAGAACTATTGTTTGACATTTACTGAAAGGGTTTCTTAAATTTGACAGGCTTAGTACTTCAGGTCACACACTGCAAAATTATCACTTCCTAAAGAATGTCCAACACATCACTAGGTTTACATGCTAGCTTTCAGAAAGAATTTAAATTCCATTTACTTTAATTGCTCAGTATTCCTCTACCCAATTTAGACAATAAGCTTCCCTTAATAGTTATGCAAACACAGAAAAAGTAATTAAAAAAGAAAACCAAAGTTAGTAGCAAAATCTTTCAATACAATTGTTAGTGGGTGAAAAAATAACACATCCATCAAAAAAATGTCATCAGCTGCTGGAATAGCTTGAATAGTTAGCAGGAGACTGAAAATTAACAAAATGGAAATCCAGTGTTTATTAGCAAGGAACATAGGCACTGCAAATACAAACAGCACTAAAATACTTATTTATATTGCAACTGTGCAAGTTAATAACTAAAAAGGTATTGAATACCAAGAATACAAGATTCAATATCAGAACTTCTTACAGAGTTGCATCTCTGCTAATGCACAGACAGCTTAGCACCTAAATACAGCTCATCTTCAGGTATCAATTCTCCTTAGAAACAGCGAAATTGGATTTAGTAGATTCATACAGAAACACTACTTTTGCCTCTCGAAGACTCAGTTGAGAACACATGTATCCCCTTAGAAGTGAGCATCTCACATAATAATGTAATAGAAACTATTCCCAAATCTCTGTCTGAACCCCCAGGGTGAGCTTCTGTAGATGATTTACTGCCTGCAAGTACAGGAGGGTTCCTTTCATGCGTAAAAACTTGGGCACGAGTGCATGTTTATATTTACAAATGCTTATTCCTTTATGCAAGCCAATCAACTGGGAGTTAGTTGCAGTGCAAATTGTCTTATCTAGATGCAACCCTAATCAAAATATGAATATACCTTTTCTGTTTCTTTCTAAACTTTTCTTCTTCATACCTTGGTGAGGAAAAGTTTCATTTCAGTAAATATAACATATGAAGGCCAAAATCAACAGAAGCTGCAAACTAGTATTAGTGTCAGTACAGTTTGTAGAAACTTATCAAGTGTTGAAACTGATATAATTAAGAAAAAATACATAGTAGTTCCAGCATTTATAAGCATTAAACAAAAAACATTTAATTATTATGACGTAACAAATGAGTTCAATGAGACCTCTTGCACGGTATCAACATTCACCACTAAAATTTAAAGTCTGTATTCATAACAGTTTGGAGCCAGATATAATCCTCCAAATCTGACAATTAACTCTCTAAGTTAACTAAGTTCAGCTTCTGCAGAACAGTTAAAGGTTTATCAACACAGGATTCTTTCAAGAGTTGGAATGACAATCTGAATATTCATAGCACATCCTTAAAAACACCCAGTAAAAAAAATTCTAGAGAGAGTACCAGGCTCCTTTAGCATTCTTTCATCCCCATCTAAGGAAAACAGTTCTCTTTGGTTTAGAGTTCAACTGTGGAACTGATCCAGCTGAATGTTTCCTGCAATGGCCAGCTATTTGTGGGAGCACAAGGATTTGTCCAACATGGATGTGCCCCTCTGCCTGCACACACTAGGCCATGTCCTCCCGGTTTGTGATCGCCTCTGACGGTGCAGAACGTGCCACAGGTTTTGGATGTTGTCCCCTCTGACAGGCTGAGCAGTTGGATGCTGTCCCCTCTGACAGGCTGAGCAGTTGATCATCTGGTTTAAGACCCAAGTTTATGGTTTCTACTCTATTACTGCACCCACAACTGCTACTGACAAAAGCACTGTCATCATTTTTGAGAGAAGAATTGTGCTGATGTTAAAATAAATATTTATATCTGGAGGGAAGGGAAAAAAATGACATTGATGCTGCCCTCACTTATTTATCAAAGTTGTTTAGAACTGTAATGGGTAGGGATTCAGCACTTTCCCAACACTGCTCTTCTTTGAAATGAAAGCCCAACCCAAGTGATATTTCAGCACTTAACTTGTTCCTCTGAAGAACACTGAAGGTACTATAAATAACTTCAGTACCAACATGCCCAGAATTTCTCACTCACAAGTCAGCTTAGCATATATATGAGGTGCAGAACAACTGCCTTGTCTCTAGAAGACTTAATTTGCACATCAGAACTCAGTGATCACACAAACACCACCCGTGGAAGTCACTCTACAGGGACATGGTGCCTCCAGCTCCTCCAGCCCCAAGTGAGGTCAGACATGGACCCTCCTACGGACAGCAGGGATCTGAGCTGAAGTTCCCAAGTGTTACAGTCAAACCAAACCCTGCTTACAACACACCCCAGCTCCAGCACATGGACAGTGAGAACAGGGAGAATAATAAAACGTACTGTTTTATGCACTCTGGGATGCCAACGTACTCCATGGGGATGAGCTCAGCTAGTTCTGCCAGGGTAAAGACATACCTAATTTTTTGGCTGAATTTTGAGCTGTGGAAGAACAAATGCAGGGTACAGTTACAACTTAAACATTTTCAACTAGACCAGTATTAAAACAGTTATTCAAGTTCAAAGTAAACAGCTGTCAGGATTACTTAAAAAAAGAAAAAGCTTCCAGAGCATTACCTAATAAAAGGCTTTGTGATGGCCAGGAGTGTTCTAATGAACCAAGAAGGATGAACTATAATCAATGATTTCAGATTTTTCCTTAACCTGAAGAATTTAAACAATGAAAGTAATTACTAGAAGAAAAAAGCAGCTTGACAACAAGGGGTTTTTGAATATAAAACAAGTGTGTTTTTGCAAGCCCACCTGTCACATAAACCTAGTATTCTGACATTCCATTATTAGAAACCAACATCTGGCAGAAGAAAAAATACTATAAAAATTTAAGACACAGTATCAATTTAAGAAGAATGACAAGGAAAAAAACACTCCAAGAAGAAGTTTCTTTGAATCTTTTTACACAACTAATGATGAAGTGGCTCACACATTATTAACCTTATATTAATACATTAAGTTTTAACGATATTCTACAAGATAACAATATTTAATATTCTAAGACTACTGTTTTCACCTAAAAAAACCCCTCAACCCTACAAGTAACAACAACAATGAAACAAACAAAAAAAACACACCAAAAAATCCAAACACCACACAGCACCCCCCAGGCATGCCTGGAGCATTATCCCACAGTGTCCAGCTTAGGAAGGGGTTTTCAACAGGCCAAGCAATTTCCTTAATCAAATCTTAACCAAAGGGACCAGACACCACATTGAACAGCACTTTATCCCAAATATGTCTATCACTGAGCATGTGAATAGTGTAAGAAAACACTGCAGAGCTTCTTACCTTCTGTCAATCTGCTGGTAACACTTCCTGAGCCAGCCTAGACTGGGCATTTTCCTCCGTGTGGTTGCACCATTCAGGTAAACTATCATATAGTTCTCAGCTACCAACAGCTCTAAAGTGCCAATTACGTACCTGCAGAGACAGAAAACTTTAGTGTCCACAGCCTTCACTTGAAAGTAATTCCTAATAACTCCTATGCTCAAATATATTAAAAATAATGAAAAAACAGAGTTGGCAACACTGTTGAATGACATCTAATCCATTTCTTTCCTTCCCCAGGAAGCAGATGTAGTTGCTTTTCTATTTGCTACCTTTCCCTCATCTGAAATATAAAAAGCTTTATTAAAAAAGATAGAGAAGTAACTGTCCTTATATTAGAATGCTAAGTTTCACAATGTGGAATTAAGACAGTATTCAGAGGCAGATGATGACTCACTTAAATAGATTGTCCATCAGGTATCTGTAGTTAGGCTGGCTGCTTTCAGGCATAAAGCAAACAGCAAACACAACAATGGCATTTAACCCATCACCATAATAACCTAAAACCAAAGAAAAGAGCAACAGTAGTGACAAAGATGACTACTATTGACTACATTTACACAAAGTCAAGCACATTCCGTAAGCTTTTTCATTATTTACCTTAAAGAGATTTACAAACATCTACATGGACAGATTCTTACAGTTACAGAAGACCCCAAGATTTCTTTTTTGTCTACTTCTAAAGCAATAGCTGAAGTCAATCAAATGCTGTACCTACAACCAACATCTCAGCATATTTAATAACATCTTATTTTAAGTTAAGTCAACTTAAAATTCCAACCTAAACTTCACAGACTGTTGGGAAGTCATGAATTGATTTTGGCCTTAGTAGATCCACAGTTAGTGCTTTCAACACACTTAAAACCAAAAAAAATGTACTGGTAGCAGTGACACTGTAGAACAGATTGAATACATCTCATTACATATGTGCACTTTAGTGCATGTGAACATTTTGTAACTTTAGTTTAATAGAGAAAAAAATTATTAAATCAGGAGTGTCTTAACACTGCAAAAAAAGAACCATCACAAGCCATTATGCCCAAAGCTCTCCCTGTGCCACCCCAGCTCAGCCTACAGAAGCAGTTGCTCAGCAGTTCCCCTCCCCACATGGCCAATCCTTACCCCCATGACTGATAACTTTTTTATAGGGTTCAATTGCCTTCATGTCCACCCTGTGGTCCTGCTCTCCGATCCGGAACATCCGCCAGCGCCGCCCATCGTCCTTCTCCTCTGCCTCAGTGTACTCAGTGAGGGAGCCCTTCCTAATCACATCAGTAGTTTTTGGTTTGGGAAGATCATCTGCCAAAGGTAAAACACGTTCAAGATCCATTATGAACACCATTACAGTGCCAATCAGGTACAGCACTGGTTAACCACTTTGCTGTCTGATCTATTTTGGTGTTCTTTAGCCAGTCACACAGACCAGCTGGTGTCAGGGATATTTTATCAACATACTCACGTTGGCTGTAATTTTCTGTGTTAAAAGTATGTGAAAAATTTCCATTTGTGTAGGAAGCCTAATTAATTGTAGGCTTTCAGAACACAGACCTCAGTGAATGGCACCAAAATAGACAAAGTGGTTAACTCCAATGAGAATTACAGAGGTTGCTTGATCACAGATTTACATACAAGCATGATTAAAAACATTGATGGTACCTTGCAAGCAGACATGCAGGCAAATCTATTAGAAATTAAATCTAATTCACATGTGTGTAATCAATATATACAAAATTTATGTGACAGCAATCTGTAAGACAATTTGCACCAATTCAATGATGATTCTTGACTTTGTTGCACAGACCTTACCCAAAGCGAGAAAAACCTACTGCAAGTTAGTTGTCTGTTCCCAAGACAAAGCTGTTAATTGAAACTATCCTTCCAGGAAAATGAAGGCAGCAGCATTAAAGGAAGAAAAGACAGAAACCCTTTTCAGCCACTTTTAAAAACAAGACACAAGCATCTGGAACAGTTCCTTCGCATCAGAGCAAAACTACCCCTAAATACCAATTCTTCTTAAAACAAGGAAAATCCTTTTATCCAGGTAAACACCCAGTCTCTGTTAAGAAAACTTCACCTGCAACATGTCTTTAGCTATTCCAAAAAACAAAACCACCCCCTTATCCTAAAGAGTGTTTCTTTCTCCACAGGTATTGTTTCAAACATAACAGTGAGAAGAGAACTTCCTGTTCAGTCAGGAATTAACATTATTTTATTTTCAGAATAAAAAAAATAATAATTGAGTTTACATGTTTACTTAGAGACATTTTTAAGCCATGAAGTTTACAGATGTTAGAGACTTCAACACGCTGACCAACACAACAGTTCTTGGTTTACTAAAAGGGCCTTAACACATAATTAAACTCTAAGTTTAAACTTTATGCTTCAACTCCTACACAAAATGTTTGCCTCAAATAAAATTTGTTAGAATCTCCAAGTTTTGCCTATAAGAGTAGGATAAAGCATCTATTAATTTCTTAAAATTAAGATCATTACTACTGTGGCTATAGCTACATTAACTTCCTATCAAGTAATTTCAGAATTCCTTGACACAAAACTGAGGCTCTTCTACTAGCAAGCAAACCCTAAGGCTTTTGCCATTCTTACCACAGGAAGGTATGAGACAGGTTTTCGAAAATACCACTCAGTCCTCCTTAAATTGCAGTTCATCAGTTCCTGGGCAGCCAATCTCTATCCCTTTGGATGTTCCCTCCATTTAAACTCACCTCTAACACATAGAAAACACCTTTGAGATTTTTTTTTGACAGGGTGGCTTTTAAAAACATACTGCAACAGAGAGGATTTTCCATAACTTCAAGTCTCATAGATGTATATATAGATGATAGACAGATGTATATATAGATGGCATTCAGCTAAGTTTACTTGGAGTTACAGCTATTATGTTGCTTGTTTACTAATCAGATGAGGCCTTTTGCTCTTTAAAAATTCATTGCACCCATTTCCAATTTCTAATCTAATCACTCCCTTTATGTTTTTCCTCTTGTAACTTCAAGTCATAGTTATTTCTTACTTGAGAAACTGCTGACCTGCACATAAGAAAATAGAAATATTTTAGAGGATCTGAGCAAAGGACCAAAATACTTACCTTCCCATTCAAATTCATTACTGTTTTCTGAAGGAGTATCTAAATCATCCAAATCAATCTCTCCACTCTCATCCAAGTCATCAGACAAAGCAGGTTGTTCGCTGGAATCCAAATTTAAGCTGATATCTGGAGCCACTAGTTTCTTCCTCACTTTGGTTCCATTAACCTCTGCATCTAAAAAAAGCAAATTGTTTATTCCCAAAGCTAAATGAGTTCAGACAAGCAAATTAATAACACAAAACAGCACCATCCTCTTTCATAAGAGATTGTATGCTAATGCCAATAATTCAAACAATGTATCTGTGGATTAAGATTTTAATATGGGATGAAAAGAACAGAAGGTAAAAGATCTCAAGTTTTAAGATTGTAAGTTTACCCAGTTGTTGCAGATATTATTCCAAATAAATCCTGCAAATAATACAATAGATTCATGTCCCTACCCTTGTTTTTGTTAGGCATCAGTAACATCATAACCACCTCTGATGAAATAAAAAATAACATACAAGTTGAAAAAAAAACCTGACAGACAACAGTGAAGACAGAAAGTCAAAGAACCTGTTTGTGAAAACACAGAATGCTTTCAGGCACAAGGCAATGCTGATGTGATTTAGACAGCACTTGAAAGCAGGGAATAACATCAAATTACTGATCCTGCACTAGAAATGCCACAAGTACAGCACACAGACAAAATCCAAAAAAAATTAAAATGTAAAAAAAAAGCCATTTATATTATTTCCCCTCTGACCATTGAAACAGGCAATGCTCCTAAATAACCACAAAACTCTGAAATTGGGAGCAAAACCAAGGTAGGCCCCAATTGCTGAACAGAAGTCAAATAATGAACAGAAATTTTAAGACAGATCAGGAAGTGAGTGCAATAATTCCTTGTTGTCCAGCACTACCTGGATAGCTCTGCTCACAGAGAGCACAAAGACACTTGTATTTTTGTTCCAAAACCCTTTTCTTTCTAGATCAGATATTTATAATACCCTTCACATACAGAAGTGCCATTTACAATGCTGTTTCCTCAAGCCTGACTCAAAAGAGAACAAAAAGCCCAACCCAAAGAAACCAACCCAAGAAACCCCACACACCGAAAAACCCCCTGAAGCAAAATGGGGCTTTAAAACAGCAGCTAAGTAGGAAGCAGCTTGACTGGAGTGGAATGGTCTTACCAGCCTGGCTTTCTGTTCCAGCTGCAGCCAATGTTTCAGATTCAACAGGATCATCCTCTGGCAGGGGCCTGGGACACAAAGTAGAAATTATTGTTACAAAACCTCTTTACATTTTTTTTTAATGCCAAATATTTAGACTTACACACTGCTAAAAAAACCACTCTGGGATAGTACTGAACTAAATTTACTTCTAGCCTAAGTTCAAGTTCTCAGTAAACAAAGCACCAAAGTAGCAGAAAATTCCTTTACAGCACTCAAGGGACCATCTGGTGATGGGACAGAACACTGATTACTACCAGTGTGTCATCCTTAAGAAAACCTGTCACATCCCTGCTTGACAAACTTTGACATCAGTATATGACAGGAGTAGTTTAGTCACATGATCACAGAAATGCCTCCAAAGTCAGCTGATGCAGCTCCTTTGTGGGCCCAAGCATCAGAAGCAGCCTTAACTGGTACAGACTTTGCTCAGGAATGTTGCTCAATGAAATATTTGGGCCTTGAGACACCGGTAATAATATGCAAACAATGTAGCTGCAAAATATCATCACAGAAAATAAACAAAGCCAAGCTTACAAATGTTCACTTCAGCAACACTGGAAGCGTCAGCAGTGGCAATCCTGCATTACTTCACTTCCACAGAACATGAAGCAAGCCCCTTCCAGACCACAAAGAAACACACCACAAAACCTTTTCAGGACTACTATATTAATATCTATTAAATATATACCATTAATATATAATAATACTACATTCAAGATCATTACTGAGTATTAGTTCACCAGGAAGACAGAGAGGTGGCTTATTGTGGATGTTGTGTGTTTGATCTGAATGACTTTAAAACAAAATTCAAAACCTTGGAAAATCTTCATCTTGCCATTCTTCCTTAAACTCAACACCTTCCATTCTCCAGCCAACTTGAACTGCTAACAGAGACTCCTGGTCAGCCAGAACCTCTTGTCTTCAGGACAACTGGCTAAAGAGGAGCTGCAGGAACATAACAGAAGATGTTACTTCAATACTACTGTAACTCCCATACTGGCAACACATCCTTTAACTTATCCCCAGGTTGAGGTATTATGCAGAATAGAAACCAAAACAGCACAGGGAAAAGTTTATCATTTCCATTTTACTTTTTTTCCCATACAAAACTGCTTATGGAATGGCTTATCATATAGTAATGAAGGTTGGAAGGGATTTCCTGTAATCAAGCAGGATCAACCTCTCAGTTAAAATCCAGCCCTTGAGCAACCTGATTTATCATTTATGATTACAGCAGTTCACTCCAAAATGTAAGAAACCTGACATGTCTCTAGATTCTATAGGAGGTAACGAATAAGTGTATATTTTGAGGAAAAAAAATCCACACGGTCAGATCTAAAATACAACCCATTTAAAAATTAAAACAAAACCCAATCAACCCAAACACTTAAAATATAACTGTTTAAGAGGCTGCTTTCAGAGAACTCACCCTGGGATGTGCAAGGGAAGCTGTGTTTTTTCAGGCTCACCCATCACCAGCAACAAGGAATCCCCAGTAATGGAACATGATAAACCATTCTGCTGACATACAAGTCCAAACCAGCTGAAGTTCTTGGCTGTGTTGGCTCTAAATATTGGCAGAAACAGGTAAACTTATCAATGATGAAACACTGATCAAAACAAGAAACAATGGTACTTTTAAATGCAAAGGAGCAACCAACATAGAACACCAGTAAGTACAAAGTTCAAATGCAACAACACTGCCAATTAACTCAGAGATGTGGGTTTTTTACATAGCTAAAAAGAAACAAATTACACTTATTGTTTTGTAGGATCATCTTTCCCAACAAATCCAAATGTCTCTTCTCCTGACCTGATTCCAACCACAAACTGATCTTAAAACATCCTGCAATGCTTAGAGCTACACCACACAAGCTGATTAATAAAGAAAAATTAAAAGACTGATCTTTTTATAAAACTGCAGTACTACAGACAAAATAAACACTAATGACCTCAGTTTAAACCTGTTACTGACATCTCCCTGCTTCCCTCACTCAGAAAACTGAAACTAAATTTCTAGAAGGCAGCAATTGATGCCTTAAGACCTTTTTAGTTTCTTATTTTTCTGATTTTGTAAGCTTTATAAGTTTTGTAAGAAGTAGAAGCAGCAGCCCTTGTTCCCTACCCTGTAGCACAAGTAGTTTACACATTCCTCAACCATCTTACCCCATTCCATGCTCCCCATATCAAATCTACCCCTGAATTCAGTAGAAATGTTTAGTCTTTTGTCAAGGCAAGGCCTATACTGTTCAGAGAACACTCATATCTTGGCCTGAACAACAGAGTCAAGAACTGGGTGACCGGGTACCCTTTGTGCTCTGAGGATGATGAGAATGATGAAGAGGTGGTCCCAAAAGCCCCCAGCCCCAGTTCCCAGGGGGTGGGCTAGGGGGTGGACCAGAGCAAAGGCAACGGGATGGACAAAACTTGGATTGGTCAAGCAGTGTTATAAAATGTAACATCTCAGGCACAGCCTTGGCACAAATTAAACTCTTTCCTTACCTCACCCTCAATTAACTGCTCCTGAGGTTTTTTTTCCTTAGCATAAGCTGCACAGGCATCACAACCTAGTTCCTCTGAAGGGTCAGACTCCTTGTTGGAATCATTCAGCACCTGAACCTCTGAGTTGCTGCACACAACCTTCAAGAAGTTGCCCCTGGCAATTGTCCCTCTTTCTGTTTGTCCTTTCTGACTAAGACCCTGTTTGGAGCAGTTTCTTGCTGCTTGAATGATGGGCCTGTGCTCCTGAAACAAGTCCTGCCTGTCCCCGAGGTGATGACACCCAGCACAGCAGGGGTGGGTGTGCCGGTGCTGCCCTGCCACTGCACCAGGGACTGGAAATGTGTGCTGGGAGAGGAGACCCCGCTGTGCTCAGCGCTGCCAGGGAATCCGGGCAGCTCTCTCTGCAGTGTCGGGACACGGGGATGGAGCACAGGGAGTGCCACCAGGGACCCTGCACAGCCAGGAGACAGTGGCTACACCAGGATGGAACGAACCACCTGATGCAAACACCCAGCTGACTACAACTCCAAAAGAACACCTGACTTGCTGACTCCACTCTTGGGGGACAGATGGAGAAATTAAGAACACTGACAGGAAAAATACCCAAACGCCCCCCCAACCAACCCCATCACCGTGCTGGTGGCTGTAAGATGCTCCTCCTGAGCTCACCTGCACTGCACTCACAGCACAGTTCCCTCACAGTTTAAAGTTGGGTTTTCCTCCAAGACTCTCATAGTTTTCTCACCACTCTTTTGAAAAAACACCAAACATGAAGTAACCCTATTAATTGCAAAGGTACAGCATTTCAGTGCAGAAGCAATTCCTACCTGCTTGCATTTCATTACACTGAGATAAACTTATTATGCTGTTATCAAAGTTTAAGATACTTTTACAAAACACTCCTCACATTACTTGCAGAATTCTTGCCAGCAGTTTCTTATTAAGGTGGATCAGAAAGCAATCATTTGCTAAATACCACACAGGACAACTGAAAACAACTTACAAGGCAACCTCTGAGTTCAACATCAGATAAGACTGACTAGGTTTTCAGCATCCTACTTAACGTGCTGACTGAGCAGTTGTTTCCGATGTTTTTACTTCAAGTCTCATATATGAAAGCACTATCATTTGTCAACTAGAAGAATGAGAAATTAAGGAGGAAGGGTAATCTTCTCAAGAAAGTTAGAAAAGTGATGACTAAAATAATTTTACATCAATTAATATAAATGCTTACAAGCAGGGGAAAAAAAATTCTGCTTATACAAACTAAAGCTGAGTTTAGAATAGTCTTCCTACCAGTGCTGTGGCAGTGCTGACATCTGTTTTTAATAAGCCAAAGTCTTTTTAATTCGGCTGTAAAACTAAAATCTAAAAACTTCATTTGAAAAATGTCTTATATTGTAATAATGCAAGTATTTATCAGTCATACAGAAAAGCAATTAATTTCTACCTGATCAAGGCACTCTCCATGGTCAACTCAAACACTCGTGCTTTCTGAGAACAGCAAACCTGACCTTACTCTCCATTGCTCATTACTTTCTATTTTGCTTAAAGAAATGGAATTGGAAGACTGGGAGTTATCTAAAGGTCAGAAACTTCAACACATCAAAGCCCATCTGGATGCAGGGTTGCCAAGTGGTTCTGCCCTCTTACTGGAGCCACTTTGGTGCTCAACAATGCCTTTCGTTCTTTTAAGTATCCCAACAGGCAAGTTGTGATATTACAAAAAGAATTACCACAAGGAACACATCACTCAAACCCACCCCTCCTTCACTGCAGCTGATGAACACATTTCCATTCCAGAACAGTGGGTTAAACCCACTGTAGTTTGCATCTGAAGAATAACACTGCTTGCACCAGAGGTCAAACAACACTGTTTTCCTCCTTTTTCCTAGAAGAATAGATAATTTTCAGAATTCTCTCATTAATGCTAAGCTGCCTCAGCTGGTAGGTACTGGAATATCAAGTACAACAGTCTTAAGAAGCCTATTAAAAATTGCCAGTTTTTAAAATTTACTGTACAGCTAAACAGGGACTCTAGTCTGTCCCAAATATTTAATAAAGGGGGAGAGGGGGAATGACAACAGAAAGCTTAAGATCATTTTATTCATGAAGTTAAAGACTCCTTGTAAAAATTAATTAGGTTTGCCTGAGTTCACAGGCAAACACACAAATAAACAGGAGTTCCACGTTTCCATGGTCCCATCTGCCCATCCAACACACAGACCCACAGTCAGTCCTCCATCAGCACCTCTGCATCTCAAGTACAACAGATATAAAATTTCTCTTTGCAAGGCCATTGCAATGACAAGCACAGACTGGATGATGCATTTGATGGGTCAAGAACAGAAAGCTGTCTGCACCTGAAAAAGTCAAAATCAACCTCAACAAAGGTTAGCCTACTTTCCCCCCCCACATTTCACCTCACTGTGTCAACAGAAACATCATCTGTTAATTCCAGGTTCCAGGCATTAAAGAGGTGCCTCTAAAAGTAATTTTCCCATTTGATTTTACAGCAAGCCAAAAGCAAGGAACAGACACATCTCCTGGTGCACAAACCCACGTGATGGAGCTCACGGCAATTTCTAAGTGTTTCTATAATTCCAATGGCTTTCAGAACGTGACCATGAACCCAGGACATCTTTCCCAGACTTAAGACAGACATCCAGACTTTATCCGTTGCAAGTTTGCATCAGGTGACACAAGGGCTTTCATTAAAAACATGTCAATTCTTTGCCTCCTTTCTACTCCTTTCCCTCAGCATTGAAGCTCAGAGGAATCAGACAGCTAAAAGAGAAAACCTCTGAAAATAGTCCTGCTTTCCTCTCCAACACTGCTCTGAAATCCACACTCACAGCAACAGAGGGATCTGCATTTCTGTGCCACTCAGACTCACTTACAGGTAAACACTGACTTCTGTCACAAAGAATTTACAGCCTGCCTAAATACAACTCATATTCCTCTGCAGGACTTAAACATGCACACGAGTCACCCAGAAACAAGCAACTACTATTTATCGTATTGCGTTAACAGCAGGAAATAAGGAGGGACTAAGACAAAAGGCACTCCAAAGCAACCCTTTGACTTCCGCGCCCCGGCTCTGCGCCCGTCCGGGCAGAGATATCCCGGGGCAGGGGGGATTTCCAGCTGGGATTCAGTGCTCACAGCTCTCCCCGTGCCAGGCACGGGTCCCTGCCCGTCCCCGGGGGGGGGGTCCCTGCCCGTCCCCGGGGGGGGGGTCCCTGCCGTCCCGTGTGGGGGGGGGTCCCTGCCCGTCCCCGGGGGGGGGTGGGTGGTTTTTTTTTTTTTCCCTGCCGTCCCCGGGGGCGGGGTCCCTGCCCGTCCCCGGGTGGGGGTCCCTGCCCGTCCCGGGGGGGGGGGTCCCTGCCCGTCCCGTGTGGGGGGTCCCCTGCCCGTTCCCCGGGGGGGGGGTTCCCTGGCCCGTCCCGGGTGGGGGGGTCCCTGGCCCGTCCCGCGGGGGGGGGGGGGGTCCCTGCCCGTCCCCGGGTCCCGGCGGGGGGGGGGTCCCTGCCCGTCCCCGGGGGGGGGGTCCCTGCCCGTCCCCGGGGGGGGGGTCCCTGCCCGTCCCTCTCGCCCGTCACCGTCAGCGCCGCCCGGTCCGGCCCCGGCCGAGCCCCCTGCGCACCTGCGGCCGGGCAGCGGCCCGAGGCTCCCGGCTGGCCGCTCCCGCCCCCCGAGGCCGTACCTGTGGGGAGAGCGCGGGGCAGGGACGGCACGGACGGCACAGGCCGGGCCGGGCCCGCGCTCACCCGGAAGCGCATCCGCCGCCCCGTCACGTGATGGTCGAGCACTCGCGCGCACGCGTAAACCGCGCGCTCTGGGGGGGCGGGGCCAGGAGAGAAGGATTACACGGACTGGGATTGCGGAGCTGGAAAGGATCCAGCGGGATCATCCAGTCCTGCTCCTGGCCCTGCACGAAGCCATCCCCAACAGCCCCACCCTGTACCTGAGAGCGTTGTCCAAACCCTCCTAAAGCTCTGGCAGCCTTGGTGCTGTGCCCACTGCCCTGGGGAGCCCGTTCAGTGCCTGACCACCCTCTGGGGAAAGAACCTTTTCCTGAGATCCAGCCCAAACCTCCCCTGACACAGCTCCAGGCCATTCCCTGGATCCTGTCCCTGGTCCCCACAGAGCAGAGCTCAGGGCCTGCCCCTCCTCTGCCCCTCACGAGGATGTTGCAGACCGCGGCGAGGTCTGCCCTCAGCCTCCTCCAGGCTGAACGCACCAAGTGCCCCCGGCCAGTCCCCCCAGGGCTGAGGGACGGCTCAGGGATGGTTCAGGGATGGCTCCCCCCATGGCTCAGGACGGCCCAGGGATTGCTCTCGTCCGGGGCCGAGGCGCTGCCCTCCGCGGGATCGCGGCGCAGGCGGGCCCCGCCCCGGGCAGCCCTCGGCCGGAGGTGATTAACCCTAATTAGCTGCTGTCCCTGGGCATCGGCACCGCCCTGCCCGCTGCCCGCCCGGCCGCTTGTCATAGGGGTGTTACCCGAGAGACCGAGCCCGGGATACAGAACGGGAAACAGGCACAGTCCCTTTATTGAGCTCCGTGTGTTACAGTGCTGTGCTGTACTTCAGTGGGGGACGTGTGAGAGCAGTGTCAGAAGCAGGAGTGGAACCTTCTCCATGAGACTCACAGAATGGTTTGGGGTGGAAGGGGACCCTGAAGATCATCCAGTGCCACCCCTGCCATGGGCAGGGACACCTTCCACTAGCCCAGGTTGTTCCAAGCCCCGTCCAACCTGGCCTTGGACACTTCCAGGGATCCAGGGGCAGCCACAGCTTCTCTGGGCAACCTGTGCCAGGGCCTCCCCACCCTCCCAGGGGAGAATTTTTTCCTGGTATGTAATCTAAACCTACTCTCAGTTTGAACCCATTCCCCCTTGTCCTGTCACTAAATGCTCTTGTGGCTAGTCTTGCCCCATCTTTCCCGTAAGTTCCCTTCAGGTACTGGATAGATCATGTCAGTATTACAAACCAGCAAGGCACTGCTTACAGAGCTATGGAGCAAAGGCCCTGAATTTCCACGTCATTTGCCACTACAACTTAAGCTGTATAAATATGGCATCCAAAATACAGACCTTGTTCATCACATATGCACAGTAGAAGCTCAGGACATTACACAAATCTATTTTTTAAAATGTTTTTCACATACCTCAGAATGCTAATGGTAGTTACTTACCGTTATGGAGGAGGAGATAAGGATGGAAGTAAGGATTTGCTAAGGTTTAGAACCTACCACTAACATACCGTTATAATATACAGACAGCTACTGATTTAATCACAGCTGACCTACTGCCTGATAGCTGCAATAACAATAACAATTTTTTTTTATTTTAGGGTGCTGAAGGAACTTGGAATGAATGTGACAGATGTGGAGAAGTGTGGAAACAATTAAGAAGTGGCATAAAGGTGCAGAAAAAGCATGGAAAACATGAGAAAGAAAAATAACACTAAAGAAGAAAAGAAAGCACAGGCACCACCAACCAGCAAAGATAAAATCTACAAATAACAGGAAAAAAAGCACAATTATTAAGGTAAATTAATTAGAGCATTGAAACTATATTCAGAAAGAACTAGTATCATGCACAGCAAATGGCCTGAGGCCTGTATACATTATCATATAAAAGTTACAAATGTAAAGCAAGAGCTACTTAAGTATAAAGAAAGAGTATGTAACCACTGGTAGGGAGAACTACAGTAAAGCAACAAAAAGGAAAAAATGTATCCTGCCACCTTTGTTTGTCACTGGTGTTTGTTTGTGGAGGTAAGGATGCAAGAAGATGACCAAACGCTCCATGCTAAAGGATGTGATTTTTTTCCGGCTGCTCCCAGCTGCACACCAAACCCCTGACCAGTGTTCCTACTTTGGAACTTCCTGTCTCTGCAGCAGCCCAGCTTTTAATAGTGAAGGTGTGGTTATGAGGCTTTTGTGATCAGTTTGTGAGGTACTTGCCCAGATACTGAGGACTGAATGGCAAAAGAGCTCAGCCTGTTGTCAGAGGATCTGTGACAGCTGGAACTATTCCAGAATGAGCTGGGTCTGGCTGAGCTGTAAAGATCGAGGGTGTCTGTGATTCCTAGAGGGGCACATTGCACCTCAGAGAAGAAAAGTTCCCTTCTAGGGGCCACTCGGTTAACAAGGATCAAAACTTACCTGAACACCCCTTGTTTTATCAGCAAACATAAGTTTGCCAGTTGTCAGTACAGGTTTTGAATCAGTACTGTTCTTTTCTGGTATAGATAAAGTATAAAATGAGATTAATTTCTGTAGAGAATAATTTTATTACCCAACAGATAATTTTCCTTGTCTTTCAACAGAGCAGTATTGGACCACCATGACTTACTAAGTCAAGAGGTTGAAAGTTTTCCAGTAAATTAACAATTTAAGAAAAATTAAATGTCATATTAAATACTTCTAATGCTTTTCTAAATGTGCTTCAGTTGCTGATAAAACTGTGTTTAAATGCACAAATGTCGTCTGCAGGACTCCAACGCCCAGCTCGTGCCACAATGCTCAGCAAATTGTGCAATTCGCCATCTCTGACACGGGGTGGCACAACATGGCTGGGAATCCATCGAGTGCGAAATAGAACCGAGAGCACACGCAAACAAGAGGTCAGAGCCAACTACGAGGGCATGTTGAATAATTCTGTTTCTAAACATCAGACAATTGCAAATATAAGCATTTTCTGACACGAAAGCTTTACCAAAGAGAACAGGCTTGAAGGAATAATGCTCTATTGCATGAATTTGTCCTGTACATGGAAGGAATAAACTGTTACACAATTTTGGGGCATCACATATTTCACAATTAACCTTTAAATAGAAATTAGTCATCAAAAGCAACAGAATACAAAACATCCATCTTTTTAATAGTCCTTTCACATTTTACATATTAGAAAAATATTTTCTAGTAACCTAAAAAAACCCCACCACCTAGATGAAAAGTGCCCCCCTTTCAAGTGGTTCAAGCAACAGCTCAGAAATGTTGGGATTTGAAAACATTAATTTGAATGTCTGTCTCTGTGGGGTTGCATGTACAGACTGCATTTGTACAGAATTCCTTCTTGCTATTTTCCCTATGCAAGAAGTTCAAATACTGTTGTGGGATTTTTTTCCCCCAACTTTATTTTGCCCTTTTTGGATGGTAATGGCTTTGGGCTGTGGTTTTGTAGCCCATCCAAATAATTTGGCTCCTGTCTTAGACAACTGTGATACAAAATTACAAGATCAGCACATCGTGGAGCAGCAGCTTTCAGATCTGTGGGCAGGAAGTGTGTAATATTTTGCTTCACTTTGCTATACCTATCACCACCTCTGGAAAGCCATTCTATTGGAATCAGCTGTCCCACTGCAGTAGCTGGGTTTCATGGTCTTGGTATATCATGAGGGATTATTGATCCTATAGTGACCCTCCACAGTCTTTCTGTGTCCCTGTGTCCCCTCTCCCAACTCGCCCTGAGCTACTTCAGATCCACCCCACGATGCTGCAGTGGACTAGTTCTTCAGCAGACTTGCACTTCACATCTCCTGACACCCCCACCCCCATGCTTTGTCTTTTTCTATCTCTGAACAAATCCCTGGCTGTTGAAAAGAAGCCAAGGTCTAAGCCAAGTCTCAGTGAAGAACTTGTGTTTGGAATTCAGCTGGAAAAGTACAACAAATACAGAGAATGCACATCTTTCTGAGTCAAACCAAAGCCCAGACCTGGGCCATTTCAGGGGCAGAGCTGTTACCTACACACAAATGAGAACCTGTTCCTCCTCTGTGGGTATGATTTCAGGAGCATTTATATATTTTTCTCTAGCAGGGAACAGTTTGTTGGCTACAAACAGCCATACTGGTACGAGAGAAAGCAAGAGCCAGCTTGGCAGCCATGAGAATCCTTCTATCTGTATTGGTGGGGGGATGTGTTATGATTATTTAGTTTATAGAATCTACTGATGTTCTTCATTACTCTTTAAATAAGATTTCTGTATCTGCAAGTGAAAGGTACTAAATGCATTGCTATTAATACCATATTTGCAAATTTCTATGCCCTCAAGAAAAGTGGATATTAATTTCACTTTGGCTGAAAACTGAGGGACCTATTAACTGTGGGAATAACGTGGAAAAATAACAGCAACAGGAGATCTCTTGAATCTGCCTCTTCCAGATAAGGACTGTGAGACAATCCCAGTACACCAATAGCACTGCAGACAAATGTGTGGTTGTGTACTGTTAACTCACAGTCCTTAATTTGTACTGGCAGGTCTGCCAGTCTCAGAAAAAGGAGACAGTTACACATAGTAACTACACATAGTTACACAGATAACTTTTGTTTTCTGAGGTTATTTTGACATGGTAAACATTCTTATCTTTCTGTGCCTTGTAAAAAAGGTCTGATCTTTGCCATTTGCAGTATCAGATTAATGTCTACAATAATGCTGTGTTAATAATATTATTTTTATCATATTGTGGTCTTAATCCAATATCAAGGGTGGATGAATCACACAAGGAAAATATTTGTGCATAATCAAAAAATCTGCAGCTTCCCTCACAGGAAACAGTTGGGTTCTCAGTTTGTGTTTCTGTGTGCTCTGATGGTCAGGCTGTTATTCATGCTTGGTGCAGGATGCATTCAGTGATACTTGGTTCAGCTCACTTCTAACAGGTTCTGAAAAAAACCACAAAACACATGAAGCACCCTGTTACATGGACAGAAGATATCTTTGCTGGTTGAGCTTGAGGGGAAAACTGGGTACAATTATATATTCTTTTAATTATTCATGACTTGGGTCTGAAGTGAATGTGTATACATTTTTCACTTATTCACTTTATAAAATTCAGAACTAAGCCCAGAAGCAGTTTTATTCTTGGCAGCATGACAAGTTTCCTTTCCCCAACGAACCAGTCAAAGGAATTGTTCCTCAGAGAGTTTGTCATCCCCGTGTATCCCAGAGAGACAGGAGGGAAGCTGGCATTCATTACACCCCCGTCACACATCTGTGTGTACACTCCCTCCCTCCCTCCCTGCCTGTGACAACAAGCCCCTCTGAGAGGACTGTGTTTATATCCAGCGTGTGGTTTCATTTGTGTAGTTGATTTGCAGTTCATTAATCTAGAAAGTATAGCCCAGTTCTGATAAGGACAATGTACCCATCCATATCTGCTTATTCCGCCTTCTGTCCCCAATGCACTACAGTTTGGAGAGAGGGAATTTGTGCTGTTTTGAGGAGCAACTGCAGCTAAAGCAGCTCAGGAGCCAAGCCGATGTAAACACACACCAGGAAATTGTTTTGATGTGGCCTCTCAGGCTGCTGGCAATGCAGTGTGCTTCCTTGGGAGACATGCAAATTTATGGGACACAACTTGACATGATTAAGGCAATGCATACAGAGGAGGTAATTGCCCTTTGGCAAGGGAATGATGTCAAGGGCCAACAATTCTTTATGTTCTTGGCAGTGCAGGTAGGATCATGAAATCAGGGGCCTCTTGGAGTTTCATTATAATTTAGGTGTTGGATTTGGTATTGTTTAAAAAATGTTTGTCCAATGTTTATGGTTGTATTCCTATTAGTTGTTTGCAGGGGAATCTAAGAACAGTGGTCAATTTGTAGTCATCAAAACCTATATCTGTATCTGCTGCTATTGTGACAGCTTATGATAGCTTGTTGAGTTTGGAGAGAACAACAACAACAAAGAGGAGTTAAAATAATGCCACAGGGAGACATCAACTTCTGCTGCTCACTCACAGCAGTGGGGTTCTTCACTTTGAAATGTAATTATCAGAGACACTGACTGATAATGTCCTTGTTGGCAGACATGTGCTCAGAACTCATCCAACATGCCTGAGTCGAGTCAGATTCAGCTTGTGTCAGGGTTAATGAGGAATTACTGATCACTACCTGGGAATCTGGGGGCAAGAATGGCTGAACTTAAGGTGAAAGACTGCGTATCCTATTACCACTCCCCTGAGTCAGCCTAGCAAATAGCCAACTGTAATGTCTTAATTACCCGCGTGTTAGGACCGAGCCTGCTCTGCCTTGCAAGCTGCGCGCGTTGCTAATTACATGGGGTGAGCACCCAGGGAACGGGCACTGGGGCTGTGCCGGGCCAGGCAGGGTTCCCACTGCGCTGCACAGCCAGGCTGGGCACTGGGAAGGTGCTGAATTGTCACCCTTTTGTTCAGTGCAAAGCCAAGGAAAAGCGAAGCCGTGCTCTTTGTGTGCTCAGACGTTACTGCTCAACCTCCCGGACGAGGCAGACTGTGTGTGCCAAACTTAAGAAGGGAAGGGAATGCAAAGGAAGACACTGGTGGGAAGAGCACGAGGTGTGCAGCCCTGGAGCTGGCACCTCTCACAGCTCTGCTGGCCAGAGCCTCTGGCACACGGCTCTGCTGCCCCGAGTGCCCCGAGCCGCGGGCACTGCAGCCCTGCTGGGCTGGGTGCAGGGGGAGCAGAGAGGAAGTGTGCTCGGGGTGTGTTGTGTTCTGCCTGGGAACAGCTGCTGTACGATTCTTCAGGGACTTGTACCATCTGCTACAGATGAAAATCTATCATGTTACACAGTGCCTTTATCAGAAATAGGAACTTGGAAGAACATCACAAAGCTGTGATTAGTTTGCTAGTACAAATTTGACTTTTGAACTACAAAACTACTTCCAAAAATCACGGTCTCTCGTTTGTCCAGTGGATAATTGATAAATACTTGGATAACTAAAACTGTGTAATTAAAAAATGTGTAATTTCTTGAGGTTTTTTAGATCTAAAAAACTATAGTCCCAAAGTTCTTTTTAGAGCAAATGCTTCATATTTGGGGGGGTTTTCCATCCCTCTCCATAAGTAAATGATTTCTTTGGCATTTCCTCCACTGGTACCTGTCATTTTCTTCTTCAAATTAATTTTTGGTTGTCTATTGCATTATGTATTAAATGCAATTTTTTGAGGTAATTCCTATCTAAGCTTTCTGTATCAGTCCCTGGCCCTTCATGTCCAAGATTTTATTCAGGTAGAATGCATAGATTTTATCCTAGCCATTAATTTTAATTTTCAAACAGTATTTTCTGAAGATTAGCTAAATTAAATCATTTTTGCAATTAGTGTCAAATTAATCCATAATGGAAGGTAGGGAACAGCAGAGATGAAGTCTCTTAGATTTTGACAGATACCCTCATTGAGTTTAATGTTTTGTATAATATCTCCTTAAGTGAGCAGAGAGCTCCCTCCCTCACACCTCGGCTGCGAACCACAGAGAATAACAAAGCTCTTTTTCCATTGCTGGATTCTAAGGGCGAGTGTTGGTAACCCTGACTCTATTAAAAACCATTTTTTGCCTTCATCAGGCCTTATCTCTGGCACTCAGTAGCTAATGGTTGCTGAAGCTCCATGGATTGTAACAGACAGTCTGCCACAAAAAACCAACCAACCAAAACCAAACCAAAGACAAAACCAAAACCAAACCAACACCCAAACCCCCTCAAACTTGATTTCATAGCTTTAAGTGAAAAAGAAGCCAAATGATCAATCCAAGTAGTGGAAATCAGGGAATCAACCTCCAGTAGGCAGACTAGTGGGGAAAAGGAGGCTAGAAATGGATTAACAAACCAGTCACCTCAGGATGAATTCCCGGATCAACAAGCATTGGGTCTGAACAAACCTGACAGTCTGAGGAGTCTGGCATTTGGACTGGTTCAAATAAAAGCAAGCAAGCCCACTGGCACTCACCTGAGCTCACTGGGGTGCTTGGCCATAGCCCTCTGTGCCCCAAGCGCTTTGGTTTGAGGTGCCTGGTCCTGAGCAGCCCTTCTGCTCTGCCCCGTGACTGAACCCAGCCCGCGTTTCTCCCGGGATTAAATGTTTACTCCTGACTGCTCAGGGTCCTCAGGCACTTCCATTTTCTAAGAACAGTTTGTTTTGTTTTTAATAAGCAGGGACATCGGTGTAATGGTTCATTTGTTCTGGCATCATATGGCATCACTTAAAATTGTTTGGTTTAAACCAAAACTTCTTTTTGTGCCTGATCTGTCCTAGCAGACTTCAGTGGCAGTTTTGTTTGAAGT